TAATTAGCCTCAATTTGCATTTCTTTACCTCACCTGGGAAAGGTTGAATTTCTGAGGGGCAGGGAGCTGCTGCTTTTCCCCACATCTCTAGGAAGGAGCACACTAGCCACCTTCCTTTTGGTCGCAATTCAGCAAAAACTCTCAGTGCCCTCCAAATCCCAGGTGTCCCCACAGAGTTCCAGCCCAATCTGCCCACCCTCTGCTGTAGCCCCAGGTGAGTGGCTGTGGCTATTTTAGAGCTCTGTCCCAGCTCTCTGTGCTGTGAAGCAGGCTTGGTTTTTATTCCCTAGAGGCGCTGCTCACAGCTAAAACTGCTGCTGTGTGTGGGCTCCCAGCCTGCCACCTCTCATGCTTCTGCAGGACCTACCAGTGTCCCTGGTTATATGATCCTGTCTTGCTGCTTTTCTGTTGCTTTTTTCTGAGAATTTGTCTTTATTTTAGTTGTAATTCTCGTTTGGTTCTGGGAGATTGTCTGTGTAGCTTCTATTCACTCCGCCTCCGTTTTTACATCCTGGAGCTATTGATTTTTTAAATTTACATTTTATTTATCTGTATTCCCAAATATCTGTTGTCAGTGTTACTTTTATACTGGGAATTTTTTTTCTTCATTGATTTTTTTGTTGTTGTTAAGAGAGAGAGGGAGAGGGAGAGCGTGACAGAAACAATGATGAGAGAGAACATTAATTGGCCTCCTCCTGCATTCCCCGCACTGGGGATCGGGCCCACACCTGGGTATGTGCTCTGACCAGGAATCGAACCGGCAACCTCTTGGTGCATGGGTCAATGCTCGACCACTGAGCCACACCGGCCGGGCAATATAATGAGAATTTTTTAAACAAAGTAGTTGACATCAGGGAGAAGGCTTTAGACTCTCACAATTGGTCTAGATATAATAAAGATTGTTTCTTAAGCTCTGGCCAGTTTGACTCAGCAGTTAGAGCATCAGCCCTCAGACCAAAGAGTCATGGGTTTGATTCTAGTCAAGAGCACATACCTTGGCTGCAGTTTGGTCCCCAGCCCTGGTTGGGGTTATGCGGGAGGCAACCAATCAATGTGTCTTTCTTGCATCGATGTTTCTCTCTCTCTCTCTTTCTCTCTCTCTCACTCTCGTTCTCTCTCTCTCTCTCTCTCTCTCTCTCTCTCTCCCCCCCACTCTGTCTGAAAATAGATGGAAAAGTATCTTCAGGTAAGGCTTAAAAAAATTGTTTCTTAAAATGTTTATCATTTTCTCATTTCAATAGTAAACAGTTTTTTTGGTTGGTTGTTTTGTTTTGTTTTGCAGCCAACAATACAAAGGAATTATTTGGGCAAATGCAGGAAGCACTGGGTAAAAGAACTGGGAAACAAAAAATTTACTGTCTCAGACTATTATTGCCCAGATTACTTAATTGTTAGAAAGAGAGAAAAAGTATGTTCACAATAGATTAATCTGGTGAACATCATCATAATCAAGTAACCAAATTAATCTATCAGTAATGAGACAGAATGACATAGTGTCCCTCCTGGTGTCTAAGATAACTGGTCTGGAATGTCAATGTCATGTAAACAAACAAACAACTGGACAATGGTTGTGATTAAAGGAAACAGAGACAAGACAACTCAATACATTACATAATCCTTGACTGGAACTCACAACGATAACAATAAAAATAGCCATAAAAGGCACTATTGGTGCAAGTGTGAAAATCTGAATATGGACTGTATAAGAGAAATAATTTTGCACCAATATAAAATTTCTTGAGTGTGATGATTGCATTGTGCTTATATAGGAGAATATCCTTGTTTTTGAAAGATATTTATTGACTATTTAAAAACAAAATGTCATAATATTATTTATTAATCCTCAAATGGCTCAGCAAAATATGTACATATATTACCTATGTATTTGTATAGAGATATATAAAGCAATTTTAGCTAAATGATAACAATTGGTATTCATTGTGCTATTATACTTGCAACTACAATTTTTCTATAGATTTATATTCTTCAAAATAAAAGTTGGAGTAAAAGTTATACAGGCTCAACATAGAATCTTTCAACAACTCAGATAATAAGGTTAAGAAAAAGAAATAAATAATGTCTGGGTGTTTATTCCTCCAGGATAAATAGATACAGATATATACAACCAATTAGGACTCTTGTTGAGTACAGAGTTTTATAATCTGGGTTTGTTTCCACTTAATATTACATCATGAATGTTTTACTTGTTAGGAAATGGTCTTCTAAATTATTTTTTATGGCTTTATAATATTCTATTATGAGGATTTGCTATTGTTCATATAAAACACCCTTATTGTTGGATATTTAAGCATTGTAGTGATTAAAAATCACTACACTGATCATCCATGAAGCTGAATCTTTATATTGGTTCATGATTAGCTTTTAGATAAACTTCTAGAACTGGAAAGACTGAATCAAAGTGTTACCATAGACCGTCAGTCAGAGCATCAGGGAGTCTCCCTCATTGGTCAAGATGGTGAAGGGGGGGGGGAGTTCCTACACCCAGCACTACACTAGAAACATGAATGGATAGGGGCTGAGCACCCAGAAGCTAGAAATATAAATAAATAGGGCCTGAGCGTGCTGAAAGCTAGGAAGATGAATAAATAGGGCCCCTCAAGACCCTGCCAAAAACTAACAAGATAATTGGATAGAAAAAAGCCCAACCCCCTATCCCTATAAGAACAGTGGGCTTGAGCAGGAAAGGATTGATTCGGAAGGAGATGAGATTGGTCTTTGGGAAGGGAGTCATCATTCTCCCAGGTCCTGTGGCTCCTGAATAAAATCTCTTTCTTTTTGCACCAGCAACTGCTTCAGGAGTTTGTCTTTCTTTGTGGCAGGCAGCCGAACCTCCATTTTTTGTTTTGTTTTGTTTGGTTGGTTACAAAAGGACACACATATCTTAAGGTCTGGCAGACACGGTGGCTACCAAACACTTACTCCCCTTTCTTCCTTGCTAATAAAATCTCAGTTTTGTTTAGGGCCATAACATGCCCAGCTCCAAGGGATGAATTATGACAGGTCTAAGCCAATCATGGCAACCTCGTTTCCTTTGTCAGAGACTTGCTTTCTCTGACCCTCTTAAAATGGGGCGAGGGCAGGTGGAGAGCACGGGACCCGGTTAATGAGCTAAATGAGCCATAAAGAGAATATTGCTGGGAGTTCCCTGAGGAAAGGAAAGCCCCTTTTCTTCTGGCATTTTATGTAAAGGTGAAGGTGAAATTCTCAGGCTGCCAAGGACCACACTGAGAATGGCACTGTGGAAAGAAAGGCCCTGAGTCCCTAACGACAACACTGGGCTTTGATGGCATTACTGGGTAGTGTGCCAAACCTAGAATCACCTATCTTTGGATTATCAAACATGTTTATTAGCTAAACACTGCCAGTCAGGTTTTCGGTCACTTATATACTAAAAACATAAAAATCAGCAGTCCTAACTGATGTTTGTCACCTGATTGCCTTCCAAAAAGGTTGTCTTGGTTTTCGTTCTCCCCAGAAGTGCTAAAGCATGACTGGTTTTTTTTTATTATTCCTTTCCCAATTCTAGGTTTCTCGATTTGGTTTGAAAGAATGCTTCATCAGGGCATTCATACCAGTTTCAACATCTGATCCGCTCTTCAGCTGGACTGAAAACTAATACTAATGAAAGAGTGCCCCCTAGAGGGCTATCTTCGAATTTCTTAGAGCACATCTTAAATTCATCATGGGACTAGAAACCATGGGGAACACAAATGCAAAATGACATGGCCCTGCCTCAGAGGGTTACAATTGTTTGCATGCACGATTCAGGGATCTGAAGTTCAAGGTTAACCAACCCTTAGCTAAAGTCAGTGATGGAGGCCTCTGAAAGCTGTGAGCATGAGTCCTCCCCAGCTGTAAAATCATGAGCAACTCATGAAACCAAAGTTCAATTTATTCACAGATCATAACGTTTCTTCCCATGATAACCATTAAATGATGGAAGCTTGGAAATGGTTTCTCTAAGCTGCACACCTTGCGGATGTGAAACTGAGGCCCAGATGATTTAAGGGTTGCTGGGCTCAGTCCCATAGCTGAATGGGTTATTATTATCGAGTGGATATTCACAGGACTCTCTAATCTCAACTCACCAAAGAGGACCCTCTCAGTGAAGCTTGTCCAAAATAATTGTAACTAACAACAGAATGAGAAAATCTTGCAGCAAGTTTGATCGTTTTCTCACATAGCTACATAATAACGACCTTGTTACCAACTGCATTTTATTCAGCACCTGGACATATATAAAATGGATGTGAACTTGCCACAATCCAGGGAAGAGAACTGATGTCCTAACGTTTTGTCAAAGGATGCAAATTGGAGGTCAAAGCAAACAGGTTGCTCTACAGTTGTAAACATGTTGGTATGCAGACCTCATTCCTGGAAATGGGGAATGAGGAGCTATGAGAACTGAGACACGTGGGTTATTTTAGTCATTTTTCAGAGTCATGCATTTTTACGTCAAGGACATAAAAATCTAAAAATGGCTTCTGACAAGTTAGCGTCTGTCGAGTTAACGAGTCTTTTTCCTTCTGTGACAATGCTGTCATGCTGCTGCTAGTCTTCAGAACAAAACAGGGATCCTGCCTTTAAAAACAGCTGGTACCTGATTCACATTAATCAACATCGGCCGTGACGGAAAGCAAGCCAGCAGTGCAATGACCCCGAGCATCTTTTAAATTAAGACATCATTATAAAATTGGAGGATTTTAAAACTGGAAAGATCGTAGAGATCACTGAGTCTGATGCTTCCATTTTGGAGATGAAGAAACCAAGGACAAAACAGGTAAAGTAATATGTATTACTAGTGTTGTAAGAGACAAGACTTCTTAAAAAATAAAACAAACACTTATGAGACAAGGATGCAAGTGGGGATTAACATTCAGAGCTTCTGTCTCCATGGACAATGGAATCCCAACAGGTTTGCTCTCTGGGTCTTTATGCTGATTCAACCAGTATTCCCAAGCAAACAGAGACCATCTTACCTGATGTCCATACCTTCCTTTTTCTCCCTTAGGTCCTTGGATGTAACTATCAATTCCGGGGTCCCCCTGAGAAAACAAAAGGTTGCTTACTTCAAATGAATAGGAAAGACAGGGTGGGGGGGATTATAGGAAGCATGATCTTTTTTCAAAAGAAGGCACCAAAGTAGACCCTTTGAATTGTCTAGCCCTACTCAATAATCCCAAATATGCAATGCAATTAAAATTTCAAACTCTTTAAGAACCCAAAAGTTCTATAAGATGGGTTTCTCACAAATCTCTTATTTTTTACAAACTAAGGTAGGCTGAATGATGGCTTATTAACGAATAATTAATTGCTCTTTGTCTTTGTGCTCAAGCAAACAGCGTATGAGCCCCTGAATTAAAGCAGCAGAAGTCCCTCGACCACCACTCACAGGGTCTCCCCTTAACCCGGGCTCTCCGTGCTCTCCAGGTGGTCCAGGTGGCCCTGTGAAGCCCTTAAATCACAAAGAAAAAAGAGTGTCAATTTTTAAAATAATCTATAACCTAAAGAAAAAGCATTCAGAGGGGGAAAATGAGAGTCAAATTAAAAGAGCGATATAGTACTTGAACTTTAAAGCACCCACTGCCAAAGAGGTGAGTCTGAGACTCGGGAAAAAACATACTTTTATTGGAAATTTGTGATATGCTTGACCCTCTGTGTGCATTATCCCATGGAACCTTCACAACTCATGAACTGAGGCTCAGGGCAGTGGAACCCAGGTCTTCTTACTACCAAATCCCTCAATCTTTCCACTCCTCCCTGATGCTCCCACACAGAAACTCATGTAAGAAAACCAAGAAGGCTTTCTCCATCGTGAATATGAACGGCATTAGCAGAGCAAGAGCTCATGAAAAACATGTAAAATTCTTCCAGAGCTCCTGACTGCTATAGACAGGGAACCACAGAGCTGAAGCAACTCTCACAAGACTATGACATGATAAGCAAATGATTGCTCTTCTTAAAACCTGCCCTTAGTGGTACCATATATATGTATAGTTCCCACAGAACCACAGAACCTTCCTTAGATGCTATTATGTGCCTGGTTCTGGAGGGTATACACCACACACTGAAAATAATGAAGTGTGCCCAGACCGTGTGGCTCAGTGGTTGAGCATCGTCCCATGCAACAAGAGGTTGCCAGTTCAATTCCCAGTCGGGACACATGCCCAGGTTGTGGGCCAAATCTCCAGTGGGGCGTGCAGGAGGCAGCCAATCAATGTTTTCTCATCAATGTTTCTATCTGTTTCTCCCTCTCCTGTTCTCTCTCTAACATCAATAAAGAAAAATATATATAATAATGAAGTGAGACCCTTCTTGGAAATCTGGCTTTCAGACTCACAAGGAATGGAATGTTCTCTAGGCTCCGAAAGAAGCGACTTCATATTTTCTTGAGATGCCTCCTTACCTCTTTCCTGGCCTGATATAATGGTAAAAGGAAGTTAGTTAATTCTAAATTTCAATTCTGCTGCTTAATTTACTAATTAGGAAAATTTCTTTGGCATCTCCAAGAAAATGTTCTTATTTGTGAAACAGATATATCTATCTTATAGAATTATTACAGGTATTAAATGAAATTATAATTTAAAATGCTGAGTACAGACCCTAGCTTGTGGTTCCTATTATGATTTGTCCAACTTCTAGTCCCTCCTTTTTCTGACCCAGACCCTGGCTTCCAGAGAAATCTTCCAAACCTGTAGCTTGAACATGTCTTCTTTGCCTAGAAACTTTTAATGGCACCTGATTATGCAATAAAAAGAAACTAAACTAAACATGACATTAAATGACTCCAGACTTTTCTCCCGCTCTTTATACTTTTTATCTGACCTTCCACTCCTGTTGAATGGGAATCCTTGTTTGTCTAAGCCCACTCTGAGTTCTTCTAACTCTAAGCCTTTCCTTTTTCTTCACCCAAAATAGACTGTGTCTCTCTCACAAAGGTCAGGGTAAAAAGTGTCTCGATTTCCTGTGTGCTCCGGAATCAGAGTCCTCTCCACTCTTCAGCACCCTTCTCAAATGCCACAGACCTTAGTATGGAAGGTTGGTCTCTTGCCCCCTTCTTTCCTCCCTCATCATCTGGTTATTAACCATCCTTTAAATTTCCTTTCATCTTTACTCCCTTGATGAAGACTTCCTCACTACACAGGCTGGATCAGATCCCCTTGTCATTTATCTCTTCTTCATGCACTTATCTCACCAGTAATCTTACATCTATTTCCATGACTATTTTATTAACAGCTGTCTCGCCCCCACAGAGGGCAGTTCTGCTACAGAATCCATGCCTATGTTGCTTCCTATTCTACAGTCATGCCTAAATTACAATAGATGCTCAATAAATCTTAGTGACTTATCAGATGAAGAAACACCGCCCTATTTTAAATCCCTCTCCGAGTCATTGTGCTCCCATTCATTCTTTATTTGCACCATTCTTACAGCCTTTATCTTATCCTATCTTGTATTATAGTTCCTCCTATACAAATCTTATCTCCTGTGCCAGTTAATAAGCTCTTTGTTGGTCATAACCATGACTTATTCATCTTTGAACTCTAATTTGTGTCTAGCAAAATGCCCTACAGGCAGGAAGCACTTGAGAGGAGTTTATTGAATTTCACTAAATTCAATGGAAACTAGGCATTTCAGTCTTGGGGGAATTATGGTGTCCTTCACCTTCTCCGAAATCTGATTGACAAACTGCGGTTTGGAAATTCAGCCTCAACAAGGACCCATTTCTTGTGAGTTCCTGTTTCACTTATCAGGAAATCAATCCATTCCTTATGGTAAAGCAGTACTCTAATTCCATGTGGGGGTACAAAATAAATAAGTACATAAATTTCATCCCCTGTATCTAGTTCGATCAAGCAACCAAAGCTGATTACAGTACTGTGTTGGGATGGATCCTTCAGGCTGTGTTCTATAATTAATTAGTAATGGCTGCCACGGGCACAGGAAGGAAGCGTTTAGTACATGCACCTTCCTTACATAGAAATATAAGTATCAGCACGAGGCAGTGTACAGTCACTGTTAAGAAGATAGTACAAACTATAGACGTTACCAAGAATATAGAGAAGGGGGAGATCTCTACTGACTAACATGGTCAAAGAGGGCATCGTGAGGAGGAAAGGCAGGAGCTAGAAACGGAAGAAAAAGTGATCATCAAATAAGCACTGAAGATGAAGGCAGGGAAAGGCATTCCAGAATGGGGTGCCTAGCACGGGCCAAGACACAGAGGTGTGCATATGGAATCTTCAGGGGACAGTGAGTGGTGTAATCTGACTGGGAAGGATTCCGCTCTTCTTCTTATTTTTCCTTTATAATAGACATACAATATGATACCGGTTTCAGGTGTACAACATAGTGATTAGACATTTACATAACTTACAAAGTGATCACACAAGTCTAGTGTCCATCTGACACTAGATATAGATATTATAATATCATTGACTGTATTCCCTATACTGTACTTTAATCTCTGTGACTATGTTATAACTGTCGATTTGTACTTCCTGATCCCAGGAAGGACATTTCTTTACCGAGATCTGCGAGAGTGTTGTTGAAAGGCCTTGGATATAAGACTAAATCATTGGCAACAGGGAGACAGAAAAGCTAGTGAGATAGGAAATGACAATTACGATTCTGAAGCACAAAAACACTAAGTAATTTGGCTGACGTTACTCATTTCACTCTCAGCAGAGCCAGGACTGAAGTTATAGGTTCCAAATAGTCACCTAATATTTATTGCCCCTCAACTCCCAATCTGGAAGTTAAGAATCTGGGATTCTTTCCCAAAACTTAAAAATAAACTGTCAAGGTCAGTTTAACCAGTAGAAATATGAGACAAAAATAGCCTCCTACTTTACCTGATTTCCCCTATTTCCTTTTTCTCCAGATGGTCCTGGGATTCCATGATTACCCTAAAAAAAAAAAAAAAAATACATATGCAAAGAACCTTTGTTATATTAGTCACCCCAGAAATCTTTTCACATTCTAGTCGACAGTAGAAAGTTTATTATTTACCATTCTATTTCCGAGTATGTGACAGACTGCATGCCCTGGACCATCCTGACCCTTTGAAAAACAATCTAGAATTCCAGATAACAAATTTTAAAATATTTCACATGCATTAATGAGCTGGGTTTTTTTTAAAAAGAGAGAGAAATCTTTAGAGTTCAGAATAAAGAGAGAGGAGGAATCGACAGAAGTCATAGCCATTGGCTGTCCTAGGACTTCTGATCACTCAGTGTGAGTGTGGTGTGAAAACCACATTTATTTTAAAGTGGTCTTAGGAGGTGGTGCCCCCAAGCACGTGGCAGAAGCAAACAAACTTCAGCTCAAGCCTTAATGACTACTCACAGATAAATTCTTCTTTCCTTTTTTTTTAGAGCAGGAGGGAGAGAGGGGGAAGAGAGAGAGAGAGAAACATCGATGTGAGAGAGACACATTGACCGGCTGCCAGGCACACGACCCCAACCAGGGCCGGGGACAAACTGCAACTGAGGTACAAGCCCTTAGCAGGAACCGAACCTAACACCCTCTGTTCCACGGGCCGATGCTCCAACCGCTGAGCCAAACTGGCCAGGGCACAGATAAATTTTTTTTAATGAGTTTAAATCAAAAGTCACAACACACATGAGGGAGACACCAGGATGGAGGGAACCAGCAGAAACAATAGACAATAAAATCAGACTTGCAATGACTATAGATATTAGAATTATCATATATAGAACATAAAATAAGTATATTTTAAAAATTTAAATAAGAAAATAATTGGTTTAAAAAATATATAAACAACTTATAAAAAAGAAAAAAGGCCAAACGATTTGAGAAACAATCAAATAGAACTGTTTAAATTTAAAATGTAATTGATAAGTGAATATGTGTATTAAACAAAGTGACGTAAGGATTAGTAATTAGAAACTGAAGAAATTATTCAGAATGCAGCACAGAAGAACAAAGACATAGGAAATATGAAGAGGGTCAAGAGGCATTGAGTGCAGAATGAGAAGGCTCACAATTTTTAAATTAGACTTCCATAAAGAGATAATAGAGAAAGTTAAAAGATAAAAATTTCAAAATGATATTTTACTAAGGATTTTCTAAAACTCATACAAGGCACAAATGCTCAGATTCAAAGCCTAAAAAGCACCAAGCAGCTAAAAAGAAATCTACATCTGGACATACCATATTGAAACTGCAGAAAACTAGAAACAAAGGGAAAATTTTAAAGCAACGTGATCTATTTCTTTTAGATTGCTGACCAAGGAACAGCAACTAGTTTGATGAATAACTTCTTGACAGCAATAATGAAAGATAAAGATAATAGAAGCCAGAAAAGTATGAAATTGCATTTTAGACTGCTAGAAAAAAAAATATGTTTAGCCCTGGTCGGTTTGGCTCAGCGGTTGGAGTGTCGGCCTGCGGTCCTGAGAGACCCGGGTTCGGTTCCCGCTAAGGGCATGTACCTCGGTTGCAGTTTGTCCCCAGCCCTGGTCGGTTGTGCGGGTGGTAGCCACTCGATGTGTTCCTTTCACATCGATGTTTCTCTCTCTCTCTCTCTGTTCCTCTCTCTCCCTCCCACTCTACCTGAGCAAAAAATGGAAAAATGTCCTCGGGTGAGGATAAAAAAAATATATATATATGTTTACCCAAAAAACTATCTTTCTAGAAAAAAGGGTACAATAAAGAGATTTTCAGAAAACCAAAAACCAAAGGCGTTTATGGACTTTGTTCATTAAAGGAAATTCTAAAAGTCCTACCGCAGACAAAAGAAACATGCAAAGGGCATCAGTAATAGTACTAAATATGAGGGTAAAGCTAGATAGACATTGACTAAAAAACACAATAATTAAAGTGTCTAATTGGTAGAATTTAACAAAAGATGGAAATAAAATACTGGACAATAGTACGTAATACAAGAGGCAGCTGGTTAGAGCTAAGTTTCTAGTATCCTTCTATTGTGAAGACAAGGTCAAATACATAAATTAGCTTTAGACATTGTTGAGCATGCACATTAAAAAAGTCTAGACTAATTGTGAAATGATTAAATAGAGAGTATAAATGCCAAACTAGTAGAGGTGGGGACACAGTAGGAGAAAATGTCGGTACCTGTTCTCCATCCAAGCCATCAACACCTTCCTCACCAGGGTCGCCCTGTGGAGCATAGAATGAGAAGGTCAGAGACAAGAGGACCAGGTGTACGTGGTTACTACTTTAATGGAAATTTCCATATTAATTTTTTTTTCAGTTAGAAGAATCTAGATTTTCTAAAATAATGTTTACACACTGCATGTAACTATTATAAAGCAATGATTATTTTCTTTCTGAACTAGTCATTAGTGTTCTATACTGTTTTTCCTGGCAGTTTCATGGGCCAAAGAAAAAGACAGAAAAAAAAGACATTCAAATTTTGAACGAATAGAAGGACTTCCATTTAAACTTTTGCACTGGACACAGTAACTCTCTCCGAAAACAATGAAATATTTCCTACTGGTTGTCTGCATGTTAAAGATGGTTCTTTTGTCATTGACCTTTTCTTTAATTTAAAAAAGACCAGCAAATATGCCTGAATTAATCTGCATAATGGAAACTTGGATGATCTTACATTAAGGAGGAACTAAACGGGAGTGTATCTTTATGTGTGCATTTTGGGAGACTTACGATAAAAATCGCCTTCTAAGAAAAAAATTGAAAACCTGAGACTAAATAGATAAGAGTAAAAACTGGCAGTTGCATAGTGACAGCTGGTCAAATATGCAATCACTTTCAAATTATGGGCCTTTTGTTTTGCCTACTAGCTCAAAATGACAGTTAACATATTTATTTTAAAATATCGTGTGAATGCCCTGGCCAGTTTGGCTCAGCAGCTGGAGCATCGGCCCACAGACCAAAGAGTCGCGGGTTTGATTACCTTGGTTGCGGTTCATCCCTGGCCCTGGTTGGGGTCGTGCAGGAGGCAATCAGTTGATGTGTCTCTCTCACATCGATGTTTCTCTTTCTTCTCTCCCTCCCTCCCTCCTTCCCTCTCTGAAGATAAATGGAAAAGTGTCCTCGAGTAAAGATTGAAAAAAAAAAAAAACTCGTGAAAAAAATATTGGTTTCATAAGAAGAATACAATGCATTTTACACGTGTAAAATAATTGATTTGCTCATACTGTCCCCATGAGAAAATCTGGTTTCAGGCAATTTTTTTAAACCAAAGAACAGTCTAGTTAGTGAATGAAAACACGCACGTCAAACTCCCAGACTAAAATTACATGATATATTTGCTACAGTCCATAGGGTATGAATCAGTGGTACCAAGACATGTGAGTAAATAAGCTTTATCGGCCCTCATCTCTCTCTCGTTCATCCCTTTGCAACCACTCCCTTGACAGAGTTGGTACCTAATAAATGTATTTGTAATAAATGAATGAGAAAATGGATACTTTGCTTCTGAATCTGAATGCAGAGTCATTCCCTTATGTGTCAGCTCGTTACCTCTCCCATTTGACACCCACCTTGACTAGTCATCCCTCCTAAGCACACCCTGAATTCAAGACCAGCTCTTCCAGACCATCATGTGATAAATACGGTGGCTCAATTATTATCGAGCTAGCAACGCTTGAAATAATATATATATATTATATATATCTATCTCCCTATCTCAAAACTGAAATATGTGTCTTACAAATAGCCATTCATCTGCATGGCTGCTTGACTCTGATCACCACCTGACACATCCCCTCGCCTAAACGTTTTAAACCCGGCCCCACTCAAGCAAAGGAAAAGCAACTGGACTCAGTCCTCTGTTTCCCAAAGAAACTGCACTCCAGCTTAAGAAGAGTACAGAAAATCACCTACCTTCTTTCCTGAAAATCCTCGTGCTCCCTAAAGTTAGGAAGAAATAAAAAGAACTGAGCTTGAAATTACATTTTAAAACACTGTTTTATTTAGGAAACCATATGTTCCCCGGTTTCAAGAAAAAGCAATTAATTATTAGATCAAAACGAAGATTTCTTCTCCAGCGACTATAGTGGACATCACAGCACTCTGATTACCACCACTTACTTCCCTGTGCTTGGGACTTGGAAGGAAACTGCACCTTGTAACTCTTCCCATAGTACGGGTGAGCAGGAAACAGCAGTGACCTGCTTCTTATGAGTATAACAATTGTTTTTCAAACAAAAATGACAATACACTGGTTAACAAAAATGGCCTCTAGGAACAACAGGACAAATTAATTGAAAAGGGAACGTGTTAAAATACGCAGAATATAGTCATTGTGGTCAGAAAAATTCTCTATGGGACTGAGGTTGCAGAATATTTTTTTCTGGCCTTATTAAAAAAGATTCCCTCAACCTGGAAGGTTAAGAAACATGAATGTAATCACTCAAAAAGGTGCTCCACCTAGTATCCCTTTTGCATTGAGAATTTCGGTGTTCTCAAGCCCACCTTCCAACTGCCAGGACTGTGACCCCTTTCCTGACAGTTTTTTCTGGTACCAGAGCCCGTACACATGCAGAACAAGCTAGACGTGCTGAGGAACTGTTGCCTCCTAGGCGCAGCCCTCAACTAATGCCTGATAGGGTTTGGTGTATGAATACCCCAGCCCCCCAACCCCTTGCGTGGGATAACATTGAGAGGCATGTTCAACACTGGCTGCCAGAATTCCTCAGCAGGAGTAAGCTCTGTCTCCCCTTAGTGGTGATCTAATTGATAATACGCCCTTTTCAGGCCACCTTCCCTCCCTAACGTCTCTGCTCCCTACTAATGTTTACTGAGATTGCCTCCGAGTCAATTATTTGCACTGATTCCTTTTCTCAGGCTCAACTTCTGGGAAACCCTCCATCTCCAGAGAAGTCAAGATCAGATACCACACCTATGTTGAAGAATCCACGTGTTCCTCGAGCCCAAGTGCTGAAACAGGGATAGGGGAGGAATTCCACAGTTTGAGGTCATACTCACCTTAGGTCCTCTCATACCCGGGCATCCTTCCTCACCTCGGGGTCCAGGAGAACCTTGGGGGCCTCTTTCTCCCTATGAAATAAAGATACACATAGAGACAGTCAAGCACCCAACTAATACAAATCAGCAATAATGACCATAAGAACGACTAAAATATGACACAGTCCTTGCAATTATTTCTACATCCTCAGAGATCTGATTGGATCACCTGCAAGGCAATCAGAATGTTCGTCCATCAACTACCCATATTGATAACCCCAAATCATATGAATCCAAATCATCTGTATATTTTATCAGTTCAGTCAAGCCACATGGGCAAACCTTCAGCATTCAAACAAAACAGAGGTGTATCTGAACATCTCCTTCAGGCAGCTAAAACTAGATGGTTTACTTGTCAGCCCACAAAGAGTAAGCCGCTGTTTAACTCTTTCTCTTCTAGGTGAAATCCTGCCCATTCCTAAGGTATAGATAATTTGTGACCTCCTCTTCTGAGAAGTCTTTTCTGTTACATCATGTGTTATTATTGTTTTTGTGTTATATTGTTTCCTGACGTGTTGTGAGCTTCTTGGCGACAGGGACAATGTCTTGTTCGTTTATCTCTGCATTTCCAGCCCTAAGCACAGTGTCTCACACACAGTAGACATCCAACCAGGATTTGAAGAATTACTTCCCAAATTATATTAGTGAATATAACCTTTGGATCTAGGTATTAGATAGGAAGGGAATGGTAGATACCGTGCCTTTTGCCAAACTTACCAAATATAAATTAGAAAGTACTGTATACCCCACGAGCTTTCATCAAAATGGGGTCTACAAATGTAACATCTAACTTCCACTTAATAGGGTTGGACATTTTCCCTTAATAAGCTTCCCTAGACAGTAAAAAGTAACATGGTACAGTGAGAAGACTCTGATCTAGAATGAAAGGAACTGGGTTTGAACCCTAGTTTTGTTTCTGACTTGTTATATAAGCTTGGGCAAGTACATGACTCTATGAATTATAATTTTCTCCATTTGTAAAATGTGGATCTGGATAATACCGATGCTAACCACTCAAAGATTATTGTATTGATTCCATGAGATACTGTATTGAAAGTACTTCCTAGCTCTGGATGGTGTGGCTCAGTGAATAGAGTGCTGGCCTGCATACAAAAGGGTTGCAGGTTCAATTTCCAGTCAGGGCACTTACCTGGGTTGCAGGTTCAATCCCCAGCCCCAGTTGAGGCACGTGCAGGAGGCAACCAATCGATGTGCGCCTCTCACATCTATGTTCCTCTCTCTCCCACCCTTTCCACTCTATCTAAAAATCAACGAAAAAATATCCTCAAGTGAGGATTAACCAAAAGCAAATAAATAAATAAAAATAACAAAAGAAAGTAGTTCACACATCATAAAGCTTGGACAAATTGGGGGTTTTATACTTAATCGACAGCAAGAGATAATGAGCACAGCACAGGTTCTGCCATCAGACAGATGAGGGTCTGAGCACATCTCCCACCCTCTCTGTCTGACCTTATAAATCACTTACTTCCTCTGAGTTTCTACTTCCACATCTATAACATTAAAGTATTAACACGTATCAGTAGGGTTGTGATGAAGATTAAATGTCACAATGTATACAAAATGCCTAATGTAGGCCCTAACACACAGCAGATGTCAACTAAATGTCTGCTTCTCCCCTTCTTCCTAGTCTACATGCATTTTTAAACTCAGTGCATGGTACCTAAGCTTCACCTGGAAAGTTTAATTGTAACATATTTACTGTTACCATATTGCACTCTGCAATGTTATGAATCATGAATAATTGATTGCTTTTCTTCGAAAACAGTTGCTATATGATAAAGCAGAAACACCAAGGAAATATTCTTCCAGTTTTATTTTTAACAAAACATTCAAAGTAAACCCACCCTTAGAATGGCTTTCACTTAAGAAAAAAAAAAAAGTGTTGGCGAGAATGTGAAGAAATTGGAACCCTTATGCACTTTTAGTGAGAATGTGAAAGAATATAGTTGCTATTGAAAACAGTATGGTAGTTCCTCAAAAAAAAAAAAAAAGTTGAACTGGAATTACCATATGAGTCAACAATTCACTTCTGGATGTATACCCCCAAAGAATTGGAAGCTGGGTATCAAAGAGATATTGGCACAGTCATATTCACAACAGCCAAAAGGTAGAAGCACCTAAGTGTCCACTGACAGGTGAATGGATAAACACAGGTGGCATAGAATACAATGGAGTTATTCGGCCTTAAAAGGGAAGGAGATGCTGACATGCTGGAACATGGATAGACCCCGAGGACATTGTGCTAAGTGGAATGACCCAAAAGACACATTCTGCTTGATTCTCCTTAATGAGGCACCTAGAGTAGTCAAATCGTACAGACTGAATGCTGGTTGCCAGGGGCTGGGACAGGGGTGGAGAGTTAGTGTTTAATGGGAATGGTTTCAGTTTTGCAAGATAGAAAGGTGTTCTGGAGATGGATGGTGGTGATGGTTGTACAATGTGAATGTGCTTCATACCACTGAACTGTACACTTAAAAATGGTAAGACAGTACATTTTATTGTATGTGTATTCTACAATTAAAATTTTTTTAATTAAAAGGAAATTTGGCCTGGCTGGTGTAGCTCAGTGGATTGTGTGTCATCCCATGAAATGAGAGGTCCCAGTTTGATTCCCGGTCAGGGCACATGTCCAGGTTGTGGGTTCCATCCCCAGTAGGAGGCATGCAGGAGGCAGCCCATCGATGTTTCTCTCTCACATCAATGTTTCTATCTCTCTCTCCTTTCCTCTCTCTCTAAAATATCAAAAAAAAAATAGTTTTTAAAAAATTTAAAAAGAAATTTGTAAAATCCTACTTTTAGGACTTCTACTCCCAATTTCTAGTTTCAGTTGCTATACATACATCAGTGGGTATGTGTTTTCCCCAAATTAGTCCACAGAACAAAAGAGCATTTTATTTTATTTTTTTTTATTATTATTTTTTAATCCTCATCCAAGGACATTTTTCCATTTTTTGTACAGACAGAGTGGGAGGGAGAGAGAGGAAGAGAGAGAGAGGGAAACATCGATGTGAAAGGGACACATCGAGTGGTCGCCACCCACACGACCAACCAGGGCCAGGGACAAACTGCAACCGAGGTACATGCCCTTAGCGGGAACCGAACCCAGGTCTCTCTGGACCGCAGGCGGACGCTCTAACCGCTGAGCCAAACCGGCCAGGGCCAAAAGAGCATTTTAAAATATGAGTCCTCACAAAGTTTCTCATATTTCCAGTACTTTTTCTACTTGACTGCTCTCTCTCTTTTCTTTTTAAGTATTAAAAAAAAAAAATTTTTCTTTATTGATTTTAGAGTGAGAGGGAGAGAGAGAGAGAAACATTAATAAAAGAGAACACTGATTGGCTGCCTCCTGCATGCCCCTGACTGGGGATTGGGCCCACAACCTGGGCATGGGCCCTGATCAGGATTTGAACCAGCAACCTCTTGGTGCATGGGTCGATGCTCAACCAGTGAGTCTCACCGGCCAGGCTTGACTGCTCTCTTAACTTTGAACAACATAATATTGACACACAGTCAGTGTTTATTTGAGATATTTTTGGGATGCTTAGGGAAGTCAACTATCAGATCAGTTAAACAAGGAAAGAAAGTCCTGGCCAGTTTGGCTCAGCAGTTAGAGTGTTGGCCCACAGACCAAAGAGTCACAGGTTTGATTCTGATCAAGGGCACATATGTTGGTTGCAGTTAGGTCCCCGGCCCTGGTCGGAGTCATGCGGGAGGCAACCAGTCGATGTGTCTCTCTCACACATCGAAATTTCTCTCTCTCTCTCTCTCTCTCTCTCTCTCTCTCTCTCTCTCTCCTCCCCTCTCCCCCCTCCCCTTCTCCCCCTCCCTTTCCCCCTCCCCCTCTGCCTCCCTCTCTCTCTCCCTCTCCCTCCTTCCCTCCCACTCTGTCTGAAAATAAATAAAAAAATATTCTCGGGTGAGGATTTTAAAAAAAAAAAGGTAAAGAAATCAAACAGATTATTTATTTACTATATTTGAGGGTGAGACCTCACAATTTCAAATGTTAGATGTCATACAAACAAGACTTTAAAAAATCACTTTTATAAGCACTAGAATTTGTGATTACATTGTGGAGACCATAAAAATATTCTTACAAGAAAAATGAGGCAATGAGTTTTGAAGCTGGAAATAAAATTTGCAATGACAGACTTCATAAACAGACTCACAAGTAGTTTATCTTAAACAACGTAGACAGAAGTGAATACAATGTACCTAGAAAACCAGAGGCCACATAGCAAGTGATACAGCAACAGACTGAATACAGAGGCAGATATATGAATCCAGCTGAATAAACTTGACCTTAAAGATATTTGAAAACATGTTTTTAAAATGCCACTCTCCTCATTAATATATTTTGTTTTGGAAAATATCATTATTTTTCATAAAGGAATATGTCATTTATGTTAAGGGTTTTATTTTTGTTATTTTGAAATAAACTAGATCACTTAAAATTCAGTTTTAATTTCTAATGTGGTAAATAACAATGGATAGAAACCACATCAACAAAAGCTCTTTGAGGCCCTCATTAATCTTGGAGTGTGTAAAGGTATATCCTGAAACCAAAAAGTCTGAGAACAAGTGGTACATACAAATCAACTTTAAAATAGATACCTGTGGCAAAGTGATTTTCCACAATTTAAAATGAACTAAAAACAATGGGATTTTTTTAACATTTTTGGTATTAATATGCTGCAATGAAGATGATCCCTACCACATTGCAGTCTCTTGTTTAGCAATTCTCTCTATGAGATACATTTTTTCTCCACAGCCAATCACATGATAGATAACTTTCCCTTGCCCAGGGATGTATCCAGGGTTCTATGCAAACCATCAGTAGGTAACTATAACTCCATCACCTTTTTAGCCACGCAGGAGGGCGTCTGAGTAATCAATTTTTAAGACCAGCCTCGATTCTCTTCAATTTATTTAGTTAAACCACTTACAAACATGGCCATGTCATTAACAGTAACAAATTACCTACAATTTAGCTCACGATTAACAACTACTAATATACACATGTACATGAGACACAGGCTACATCTTCAGTTATCACAAAATCACTCAATAAAAAAACAAAATAATCATACTTCCTCATTAAATGCCTTCTAGAGACTATATATCTTTACACAATGTATGCAACTGACATGTTATAATAAATTGTTATTGTTACATAGATATTTTAAACTCATTTTATTTTTTTAAACCCATTTTTAAATGGCATAGAAGAGAAAAACTTTCATGACTTAAGTGCAACTAAGTATTGCTAATATTTGACACATTTTACCATATTCTGTCAAAGAAAACAAAATAAAATTTAGTACTTACATGTCCACCTTCTTCACCAGGATGACCAGGTAATCCGTCAGACCCTTGCTCTCCCTGAGAAGAAAAGAAATAAAAATAAATAACTTGGACTCTAAATTCTTCATTTCTCAAATCTATGTGAAATAAAAATTGTTACTAATAAATAACCTTGTCTCATTGAATTTGCATTTTATTAAGAATCTACAAAATGTTGAGCACAATGCACAGAGACACATAGAAACAAGTATTCCTGGTCTACCTCACAGTGAAAATTTGAATACTGTTTGTCTTAATAATTGGTACATCAAACTATTTTTATTTTTCTAAAATACATCTTTAAGCCATTCTATTGTGAAAATCCAAACCAAAACTACTTTATAGTTAAATGTTTAAGGAAAACTGTTATTCTTAAAGAAGGCTTTGACCTTGTTTACAAAACATCAGTAAGCAAAAATGTTACCAACCATATTACTTATTTCTGTATGACTCAGCTATTTAGTCTCTCTCTCTCTCCCTCTCTCTCTCTCTTTTAGTTTCTTCTTAGATACCTAAAAACACAAACCATTTCTTCTCAAGAGAGTTTGCCTTGCCATTTTATAGCCAGATGTGTTTATTTAGTCTAAAAACTAGTAATAACACATGAGGGCCATAATCTGTTTGTGATCAACAAAGATATGAAAGTCAATGCAATCAGAGACTGGATTTTAACTAACAGAAGGAGCCAAGACGTCAAAAATTCAAATCACTCTCATCTTTTTTTGTTGTTGTTGTTTGTTTTGTTTTGTTTGTTTGTTTTTCATCTTTAAGGCCCAGTCCTTAAGTTGAATAAAAATAAAAATAAAATGTCAAGAGGTTCTCAAGCTTGATCTTCTGATTCTCCAGTCTGATGTTTAAGAACAATGTGAAGGAGGAAATAATCTAGTGCTAAGGCATATAACTACAATTTATTTTTCAAAAAAATAATTATATACTTTATACTATTCTAAACTAAGATGGATCCCTAAGGCCAATAAGAGCTAATTCCAACAACCTCATGGAAAACCTTACAAAGAGAATACGTAAAAAGATGGGCAAAGCCAAGGGGTTTGATTCAACCTTACATGTGGATTTGTGGTTCCACCATCATGAAGCTGTAGTCCCTGGATGTCTGAGGACCATTTCTAATGAGATATTCTCCCTTAAAAGTGTTAAGTAGTAATTTTCCTATCACTTAACTCATAGTTAACAGAGAAATGCAAATGAACCACTAGTAAACCGGTGATTGTGTCCTTCCTCAGAGTTCAATGCTATAGAACAGGAGGTTTGATAGGAAGGAAAGGGGTGCTGACTACTGTAAAGAAACCAAAAGATGGACAAGTGAAACTTTGGGAGACAAGTAAACACATCTGTGCAGTGAGAGAATCTATGAAAGTATTTGTCAAATAAATATAAGTAGGCAGCATAATAGAGTGGAAAGAAAGTGAGTCAGGTAGACAGAGGCTTAAATTTGAAATTGCCTCTTTATTACTGTACAACTTTGAGAAAGTGATGTTCCCTCTATGAGCCTCCATTTCAAACCCATTAAATAACATTTACCTCCAAGGTTTATTAAGCAAGTACAATTAGAAAAACTGTGATAAAGACATAACATAGAGCCTAGTATGTAGTCATCGACAGTCATCTACCTGAAATGTTATCTCACTCCCTCCCCCGCCCACACCCAACAAGTTCTCACCTTCCTCCCAGGGCTCCCATGGTCACCTCTCTGCCCTTCTTCTCCAAAACACTTTGCATATGTATTACAGCATCTTCTTTCTGCCATTGTGTCCTAAAAGACAGAACCCATATCACATATAATTTTTCTTTTCCATCTGTGCACCTACATCACATCACATACCAAAGAGACCCTGTGGGTGGCATTTTTAAAAATACTTACAAGTTGCTTCTGTAAGATGTTTGGAAGGGATGGCAGTGTGATGCTCAGAGGCTGATTATATGTAAATCCTCTGCCAAATTCTAGCTCCTGAAGCTCTTCCAGTTTGTGTACATCTTCCAGACCAATAATGAGGAGTCCAGAGAATCCTTCAAGATACCAGCAGGTGGGCAATTTACTTGTATATCTACTGAATGGTCTTTGTCTTGGCACCAGATATTAATCCATCATCCCACCCTTCCCATTTTTGTTAAAATCAAAACTAGCTCGTGGCCCTTGGTCAATGTCAGGGATGTGGGGACACAGGGTCTCTCATCTCTGAACAGCCCCCTGATTCATACAAAGAGGGAGACTGCGTATCAGCCTGGTGGGCACTGAGCTCCTATCACCTAACATATAGGAGGCTTAAGAAAGTCCAGTGCCGCCCTGGCCAGTTTGGCTCAGTGGTTAAAGCGTCGGCCTGCGGTCCTGAGAGACCTGGATTGGGTTCCCGCTAAGGGCGTGTACCTCAGTTGCAGTTTGTCCCCGGCTCTGGTCAGTCGTGCGGGTGGCAGCCACTCGATCTGTCCCTTTCACATCGATGTTTCTCTCTCTTTCTTTGTTCCTCTCTCTCCCTCCCACTCTACCTGAACAAAAAATGGAAAAATGTCCTCGGGTGAGGATAAAAAAAAAAGAAAGAAAGAAAGAAAGTCCAGTGCCATATGGAAATCTCAAAGAATATCTCATCCCCTGCAAGAGAAATGAGGCCCCATGCAGGGCAACTTTGCGCACTTACCTTTGCCTCGGAGAAGCTCAGATGTTTTCTTCAGTCTCTCCAAATCATCATCCAGTCCATCTGTAAACACTAAAAGGACCTATTTTGGTGGGGGGGGGAGGGGATGGGGAGGGAGAGGGGAGAGAAATGGAGAGGGGGAAGGAATGGAGAAGATGGATGGTATAAATTGCACATTTCTTTAAAATGCAAGGATAAGTTTAGCTTTTCTAATTGTAACCATCTTTCATCTTGTTCTCTTTTACCCATTTATTATTCATTTGATTACACAGACATTTTTACTTCAACTTCTCCCCCAGCTGCCCCTCAAAAAAAAAATTTAAATCAGCTTAACATGTTCACTTAAAAACACCTTCCAAAAATTGTCTTATAATACTCATCTTAATCAATGTAAAAATACCAAAAAAAAATTGTTGCATTTTCTACAATTAAAATGCATTACCTCTACTCATAGAAAATCTCAATTGAAACAAATGAATTATACTAGTCAAGAAATAAACTCATTGTATGCACGACTGAAGGAAACAATAATTGTAACTTTTAAAGCTTAGAGATGTCACAAATGACCAAGAGACATATGAAAAAATGTTCAAGGTCATTAATCATCAGAGAGATGCAAATTAAAACAACTATGAACTATTACCTCACACCTACCAGAAAGGCAACCATCAACAAATCATCAAACGACAAGTGCTGGCGAGGGTGTAGAGAAAAGGGGACTCTAGTACACTGCTGGTGGGAATGCAGACTGGTGCAGCCACTATGGAGAACAATATGGTGTTTCCTCAAAAACTTAAAAATTGGCCCTGGCCAGTTTGGCTCAGCGGTTACAGCGTCAGCCTGCGGTCCGGAGAGACCCGGGTTCGGTTTCCGCTAAAGGCACGTACTTCGGTTGCAGTTTGTCCCCGGCCCTGGTTGGTCGTGCGGGTGGCAGCCACTCAATGTGTACCTTTCACGTCGATGTTTCTCTCTCTCTCTCCCTTCCTCTCTCTCTCTCCCTCCCACTCTATCTGTACAAAAAATGGAAAAATATCCTCGGGTGAGGATATAAAAAAAAAAAAAAAATTAAAAATTGAACTGCCATTTGACCCAGTTATCCCACTTGTAGAAATATACCCTAAGAAGCCTAAAACACCAATCAGAAAGACTGTATGTACCCCTATGTACATAGCAGCACTATTTACAATTGCTAAGATCTGAAAATGGCCCAAGTGTCCATCAATGGATGAGTGGGTAAAAAAGCGGTGGCACATATACACAGTGGAGTACTATGCAGCTGTAAGAAAGAAAGATCTCTTATCCTTTGAGATGTCATGGAGGGACCTGAAGAGTATTATGCTAAGTGAAATAAGCCAATCAGAGAAAGACAAATATCACATAATCTCATTTATTTGTGGAATATAATGAACAAAATAAGCGGATGAACAAAATAGACCCAGAGACATAGAAGTAGGGTTCAGACTGACAAACTTCAGAGGAGGGGGGCGGGAGGAAGGGAAGAAATAAACTGAAGAACCTATATGCACAGCCAATGCACATAGACAACAATGCTAATGCTGGGGGGTAGAGGGGGAGCTAGATTGGGAGAAAGGTGTTAATGGGGGAAAAGGAGAAACATCTGTAACAAAAATAAATTAATAATAAATAAACAAAACTGGATCTAGTTTTAAAAAGATAAAGCTGAGAGATGTCATTTCTTAATACATGTCACATGAGATCTTGCTATCTCTGTGGACCTTTGTGGGTGTAAAGTTTTGGGGCTAAGAAGGGAAGAGCTGGGCTGCACTAGGGACCATTAGCTATCACTAAAGACAGTTCAGTTACTGACTAGGGAAATAACAGGCCCTACTCTACATGGCAATCAGTGACCATAAGGAGCTAGGGAGTCTCAAAATATATTCCTGTGGTCTTTGAAATGGATAATTTCATGGAAGAATCTGAATCCCTAAACTGTGGACAACTTGAGGGCAGGGACTTAATCCTTTCATTCCTACTAACATTATTCAACATAGAGCCTCTAAGACTTAGTAAATATTTGTTGACTGAATGAAAGTACATTTCTTGTTGGTCTTTACTGGGTAAGACTATGGTTTTCTCCATGTAGTATCTCCAATGAAGAACAGTTTAGTTGGCCTTAGTCACAAAAGCCTTATCCCTGCCTCCTCCCAACCCTGCCTGATGGCTACATAACATGGGTTCTCAGCATTTATTACCTTCACTTTAGCAGAAGAGAAGTTGATAGCGTTATCTCCGAGGGACTGCAAAAAATTCACATTCATATGGTTGCTCTTGGCAGCCTGATGAACCAAGAACTTCTGAATGATTTCATCACTATACTTCTCAAAGCCTGAGTCGAAGATAAGCTGGCCATCTGAGTCAGGAACCAAGTAGCGAAACATTGTGTTGATCTGCCCAGAATTGTTACAGCTGATGTTCGGAAGCAAGGCCAACTGTTGCATCAGCTCTGGCAGTAACCCTTGAAGCTTCTTCTGATTTTGCCATGTGGGAGTGGAGATATCAATTCCTACAGACAAATCTATTTTGCATTCTTTGAAGGTGGAGGAGAAAAAAAAATCGAATTAGTCATCTATAAATGCATGGCAGGGCCCAGAAGATATCAGCCAAGACTGCTCTGAAAAAAAGAACCCCACAGGGTGCTGAAGCACCAGAGAGGCCCCTACAACCCAGCAGGGACTGTGCCATCCAGTTACCTGTGGGACCTATGGGGTACTGAAGCACCAGAGAGGCCTGTGCCACCCAGCAGGAACTGCACGATCAAGTTACCCACAGGGCCTGTGGGGTGCTGAAGCACCAGAGAGCACTGCGCTACCCAGCAGGGACTGTGCCATCCCGTTACCCGAGGGACCTGCAGGATGCTAAAGCACCAGAGAGGCCTGTGCAACCCAACTGATACAACATAGGCTTAGAGGATGTGAAAAAGGAGGCGGAGTGAAGAGAAGCCATGCAGACGACCTCCCAGAACCAAATGGCAATTACAACTAAAATAAAGACAAATCCTTGGAAAAAAGCAACAGAAAATCAGCAGGACAGGACCATATAACCAGGGACTGCAGAGGATCAGCGGAGGCGAAAGAGGGTGGCGGGCTGGGAGCCCACAGACAGTAGCAGTCTTAGCTGTGAGCAGTGCCCTTGGGGAATAGACCAAGCCTGCTCCACAGCCCAGAGAGCCAGGACAAAGTGCTAAAATAGCCACAGCTACTCACCTGGGGGCTATGGCAGAGGGAGGGCAGACTGGGCTGACACTCTGTGGAGACACCCGGGATTTGGAGGGCACTCAGAGTTGTTGCTGAGTTGGGGCCACAAAGGACGGTGGCGAGTGTGCTCCTTCCCAGAGATGTGGGGAAAAGTAGCAGCTTCCCCCTCCCCTCAGAGAATCAGCCCTTTCCAGTTGAGGCAAAGAAATGCAAATTGAGACTCATTAACAACCAGCACCTATCCCACCCTCTGGAAATCCTCTTAGGCAGAACACCAGGGCTACATTCCAAGGCACTGAGTAACTGAGACTACTAGCCACCAGAAAAAAAGCTGGAGGATAACTAAACCTTCCCTGGGCTTGCAAACCTACCCAGGAAAGTAAGACTTGACAGTAGTGTTTAACGTGGCCCACCCAGGCTCATCCAAACCCAGTAGAGGAAGCCACAAACAGCAGAACACCAACACCCACAGGAAAAATTTGGCAGGCTCCAAAACCCACTGAGATAGCCAAAATGGTGAAACAAAGAAACAAATTCCAAACGAAAGAACAAGAGAACTCTATCGAAGATGAGATCAATGAAATGCAGTTAAGCAAATTATCAGCATTGATTTCAAATCCATGATCTTGAGGAAGGTCAATAGCATGAGTAAGGACATCAGCATAATGATAAAAGATACAGAAACACTGAAAACCAACCAAGTGGAAATGAAGAATGACATAGCAGAAATTAAGAACACATTGGAAAGACTAACCAGCAGAGTAGAGGAAGCTAAGGACCAGATCAGAGAATTAGAAGACAGGGTAGAAAAAAATCAACCAATCAGAAAACGAAAAGGCAAAAACAATTTAAAAAAAAAAAAAAAGGAAGATAGCTTAAGAGAACTGTGGGACAACTGGAAACATAATAACATTCGCATCATAGGAGTCCCCGAAGAGGAAGAAAATGGGCAAGGGTTAGAGAATATATTTGAAGAAATAGTGACAGAAAACTTTCCTAATTTGGTGAAGGAAGAAGGCATTCAAGTTCAAGAAGCACAGAGAGCCCCAATTAGAAGAACCCAAACAGGCCCACACCAAGACACATACTCATTAAAATGCCAAAAATTAAAGACAAAGAGAGAATCCTAGAGGCAGCAAGAGATAAGCAACAGGTTACCTACAAAGGAAACCCCATTAGGCTCTCAGCTGAAGTCTCCACAGAAACACTACAGGCCAGAAGGGAGTGGCATGAAGTAATTAAGGTCATGAAAAACGAGGATCTGAATCCAAGACTACTCTATCCAGCAAGGCTGTCATTCAAAATAGAAGGTCAAATAAACAGCTTCCCAGACAAAGAAAAGGCTAAGGGAATATATTAACACCAAACCAGCACTGCAAGATATGCTAAAAGGTCTGCTATAATTAGTAGAAGAAATAGGAAGAAAAATAGAACCAGGTTAAACAAAAATGGCAATAAATAACTACGTATCAATTATCACCTTAAATGTAAATGGTTTGAAGGCTCTGATAAAAAGATACAGAGTAGCTGACTGGATAAGAAAGCATGACTCACATATATGTTGTCTACAAGAGACCCATCTCACAACAAAAGACTCACATTGGTTGAAAGTGAAGGGATGGAAAAAAATCTTTCAAGCAAACGAAAATCAAAAAAAAAAAAAAAGCTAAGGTAGCAATACTTATATTGGATAAAGCAGATTTCAAAATGAAGGCCATAACTAGAGACAAAGAAGGCCATTATATAATATTGAAAGGATCTATCCAACAGGAAGATATAACCTTGGTAAACATATATGCACCCAATATGGAAGCACCAACATATATTAAAAACTTTCTGGAGGACTTCAAAGAAGAAATCAACAGCAATACAATCATAGCAAAGGACTTCAACACCCTGCTGATATCACTGGATAGATCATCTAGACAAAAAATTAACAAGAAAACACAGACTCTAAAGAAGTGCTAGATCAGATAGATTTAATAGATATCTACAGAGAATAACACCCGAAAACTGCAGAACTCACATTCTTCTCAAGTGCACATGGGACATTCTCAAAGATAGACCACATGTTAGGACACAAACTCAGTCTCTACAAGTTCAAGAAGACTGAAATCATATCAAGCATTCTTCTCAGATCACATAGGCATACAACTAGAAATCAACTGCAACAAGAACATGCAAAGACATTTGAAAACATGGAGGCTAAATTGCATGTTATGGAGCAATGAATGGGTTACCATGGAGATCAAGGAAGAAATTAAAAACTTCCTGGAAACCAATGAAAATGAACACACAACAACATAAAATCTATGGGATGCAGCGAAAGCAGTTCTGAGAGGGAAGTTCATAGCACTACAGGCCTACCTCAAGAAGCAAAAAAATTTCTAACAGATTATCTAACCTCACAACTTAAAGAACTAGAAAGCAAACAAAAAGAAAACCCCAGAGCAAGTTAAAGGAAGGAAATAGTAAAGATCAGAGCAGAAATAAATAACATGGAGACCAAAAAAAACAATTCAAAGGATCAATGAAACAAAGAGCTGGTTCTTTGAAAAAATAAACAAGATTGATGGACCCTTAGCTAGACTCACCAAGAAACAAAGAGAGAGAACCCATATACACAAAATCAGAAATGAAAGAGGAGAAATAATAACTGACACTACAGAAATACAACAGATCGTTAACAAATTTTATGAACAATTATATGGCAACAAATTCGACAATCTAAGCAAAATGGATCAATTCCTAGAAACACGTAGTCTCCCAAAACCGAACCAGGAAGAGATAGAAAACTTTAACAGACCAATAACAACAAAAGAAATTGAAGAAATAATCAAGACTCTCCCAGCAAACAAAAGCCCAGGCCCGGACGGCCTCACAGGGGAATTTTACCAAACATTCAAAGAAGAACTAACACTCATTCTCCTCAAACTATTTCAAAAAATTCAAGAAGAAGAAAGGCTTCCCAACTCATTTTATGAGGCCAGCATAATTCTAATTCCAAAACCAGAAAAAGACACTACAAACAAAGAAAACTGCAGGCCAATATCCCTGATGAACATAGATGCCAACATCCTGAACAAAATACCGGCAAATCGAATCCAGTAATACATCAAAAAAAGTATTCACCATGACCAAGTGGGATTCATCCCAGGGATGCAAGGCTGGTACAATATTCAAAAATCAACAAATGTGATACACCACATAAACAAACTGAAAGATAAAAATTATATGATCATATCAATAGACGCTAAAAAAGCATTCGACAAAATCCAGCACCCATTTCTGATAAAAATGCTCAGCAATCTAGGAATAGAGGGATCATATCTCAACATAATAAAGGCCATATATGAAAGACCTACAGCCAACATCATACTCAATGGGCAAAAACTAAAAGCATTTCCCTTAAGAACAGGAACAAGGCAAGGATGCCCACTTTCACCACTCTTATTTAACATAGTATTGGAAGTCTTAGTCACAGCAATAAGACAGGAGGAAAAAAACAAAAGGAATCCAAATGGGAAAGAAGGAAATGAAACTGTTATTATTCGTAGATGACATAATACTGTACGTAGAAAACCCCAAAGACTCCATCAAAAATTTACTAGACTTAATAAATGAATTTGGCAAAGTAGCAGGATACAAAATTAATGTCAAGAAATTGATGGCATTTTTATACACCAGTGATGAACTCACAAAAAGAGAAACTGAAAAAAACAATCCTATTTACCATCACAGCAAAAAAATTAAGATACCCAGGAATAAATTTAACCAAAGAAATAAAGGACCTATTTGCAGAAAACTAAAGGTCATTGAAAAAAGAAATAGAGGAAGATATAAAAAAGTGGAAGCACATACCTTGCTCATGGATTGGAAGAATCAACATCATTAAAATGTCCGTACTACCCAAAGCAATCTATAGATTCAATGCAATCCCCATCAAAATACCAACAGCATACTTCACAGAACTAGAACAAATACTTCAAAGTTCATATAGAACCAAAAAAGACCTCAAATAGACACAGCAATCTTGAAAAAGAAGAACAAAGTTGGAGGGATCACATTACCAGGTTTCAGGTTATACTACAAAGCCACTATAATCAAAACAGCCTGGTACTGCACAAGAACAGGCAGATAGACCAGTGGAACAGAACAGAGAACCCAGAAATGGACCCAAGGCAATATGCTCCATTAATATTTGACAAAGGGGGCAAGAGCATACAGTGGAGTAAAGACAGCCTCTTTAATAAATGGTGTTGGGAAAATTGGACAGCTACATGCAAAAAAATGAAACTGGATCATCAATGTACACCATACACAAGAATAAACT